GGGAGAGTGTTAAATCGGATTACTTGCATTGGTAGCATGCCAAGATAGTGACAGAAGCATGTCGTAGTTGGGTGTTTGGCTCATCCACAATCATCTATCTAGCTATCCCAACTATTTTATCGTATCAGATGCATCAGATTGATAAATGCAAAACTAGCATCCTTTATTATAACCGCAAAAGGATTTGCTGAGCATCTAAACCCATTACTGTATATGATTGCGCGCTTATTCTGTAAAAGAGCTTTAATAGGTTCAATTGACATTTCTTGCAAGAAAAGTCGCACTTCTAGCTTCTTTTCTGAAAAGAATTGTTTATAATGCCATTGATACACAAACTAGTAACAGAAATCAGACACCTTAAAGTTTAGATGTTCCAGTCAACAACAGCGGATCAGATGCTCCATTGTTAGATTTAATCGTTATTAGCTTATGTTTCTATTCGTGTTTGTGATGTAGCCACATAACTTGGTTCATATTGGTAAATATTTTCCTGGTGCAGGGAGCCTTTGTGCTTTGTCGTCTATTTAAGAAGAATGAGTTGAAGCAAGATGAAAATGTTGAAAGTTCACACTTGGATGAGGTTCAACAGCTTGTTTCTTCTCCTGCTGTTGGAAAATCACCTGGTAATGAAATATCAGATGCAGTGGCTCCATCTCCAATCATGGAAAGTGATAGTGATAAAAGCAATCCACCAAAAATTTCTGGAGGCGAAACACATGGCACAAGATTACCTATTGACAGTCGCGGCGATAGTTGCACTGTTGATGATACTGAAGATCAGATGTTGGACATAACATCAGTACCAGTAAGTAGAGTTATTACATTGTTTTGTCTTATTTTAAATATTGAGTTTTTCATGCAGACAATTGATTAAACTAATATTCTACTTACTTTTTTTGCTTCATATTTTAGTCGGATCCCGAGTTAGAGAAATTATTGGAAATCTTTTGTGACACTTCACCACAGCCTCTTGATTGGAAGATCTGCTCCCCATTGCATGCACAGTTGCAGGTGGAGTTTGGATCTTCTTACGTACATGCTCCTGTGATCAATGAGATGAGCCATGATCAAAAGGATGTCCAGTTTCAGAATGGAACAAATGCCTTCGATATTAATGAGTTTTTCAACTCAGTTCTTGACAGCTCTGATGAGCTTTCCTATGAAGATTCTGGACTGGAGTTGAGGACAGTCCAGTTTGCATCAAACACTATTAACACTATAACAAGGTCACCATTTAAGGACTCTGGATTGTGTAGTGAGTCGAAGGCACAAGTTACGCAAGAGCCAGTAAGTGGAGTCCCGTAGGTGTCTTCCCTTTTCGTGCAATTGCAAGTTATCTCAAGACATCAGTTACTTGAAAATTTAACTGTTTTCTCGGAAGACTGATCTGTTCTTTTATCCCAGGTTGGGACAGATTTATTTGAACCCAAGGAGACTGCACTTATGAGAGAGGTTAATCCTGTTGCAACTACAGTGGAGGAGGTGTTTGCGACACCTTATGTTAGCAATGATCACTCAGTGGCGAATCTTGACTTCCTTAACAATGGCTACCCTGGAGATGCTGCTTTGTCTGCTGGTTCTGGAGGAATGCAGGTCCCCAACGTACTAAATGTTGAAGACTCGAGTTCTTATAGAACTGGAAGCAGTGATTCTGGTTTTGGAACTGGAATTAAACTAAGGACTCGGCTCAAGCAGAATCAACCTGATGACGAGCAGTTTGGATCCGGAATGCAAGGAACTTCTCATAGAAGAATACGTTTCCAAGTGAAACGTCGAGCTGGAAGAGCTGAGTGTGATGTGCCTACTGATTCTGATATGGGTGGAGAAAATCCCGAAGAACTGTTAACTGTGTCTGAGGTAAGTCTCCCCAATCC